TGGGCTTTGCTTTCAACTTTTAACTTATGTCAATGAATTGGTTCTTTCCAAGCTCACTCTATATTACCTAGACTGCTTTTGGCAAAAGGATCAATGTCTTCTACATTGTACAGTGACATAAATATTCTCTATTTTTCACCTGGGTCTCCTGGGAGACTTGGAACTCATCGCCTTCCTTCCTGAAACTGTGATCTTGTCTTATTTTATGATGCATTCCCCTAGTTTTGCTTCTGCTTCTCTGGTTGCCTTGCCTACCTCTTCCTTTGCAGACCCTCAAAGCCCAAGTTAAAGAAATGCTCCCTTCGAACTTTTATCAACTTCTAAAGCTGAATATATTTAGCTTCTACCATATTATAACATAGAACATTAAATATATATGTAACATAAATTTAAACACATATAATATATATATATATATATATATATATATATATATACATATATAGTATATTCCTAGCTCTAACTTTGAACACCCTACAAAGACACTCCAATCACAATACTACATTAGTTCACCCTAAACTTCAGATTATATACACCTTTGATCTACTCTTATTTCAGTGAATCATTAGAATTTTACCTCACCATTCACTCTTTCTAGGAAAATCGGAGTCATCCATACTACGTCTAGGCTATAAACTAAAAATGTAGGTTTCCTGTATTCATATTCTGAAATCTAATCCTTAGTGTGTAGGAATTTGGAGGTAGGATTTTCAGAAGATTAGGTCACAAGAGTGATCCCTCACCGATAGATTAGAACTGTCCCCATGCTAAGACACATCGAGAAGATGGCACCCTAAATAAACAGGAAGTGAGCCCTCACCAGGTGTTGATTCTGCTGGCGATTTGCTCTAGGACTTAGCAACCCTGAGCTGTGAGAAATGCATGTCTGTTGCTTGTGAGGTGTCCAGTTTGAAGTTTTCTGTACAATGACTTACCATAGTCCGTCAATGTTGCTGATTCTTGTCCTGAAATATCTTTGCACAGCATTCTACCTAGCCAGACTACTGTAGCCTGTTGCCTCAGCTGCTGCCCTGGCTTTTTCGAGCTGTTCCCATCTGACTCCTGTCATCCTTTCATTGGTTTTCAGCAAAACAGCCAGAACAAACTTTAGAAAACCCCACAACCTAGGGTATTTTCTGTTTTAGTCAAAAGAACATCACACAGAATCTGTTTTTATCTTGGATCCCTGCAAGGCTGTCTCCTGCTTATTTTCCATACTAAATTTCCTTTTCCATCCTTTCCCTTGGGCTACAGTAGACATTTTAAGTTCCTTAAACACAGTACACCTTTTCTTTTCTTTTCCTTCCTTCCTCCCTCCCTCCCTCCCTCCCTCCCTCTCTTTCCTCCTTCCTTCTGCTTAGAGATCTCACATATATTGCTTTCTTGGACTGCGTAATAAATGCTTATCCAAATTTCTGTCTGACACACACACACACACACACACACACACACACACACACACTCATACACAATTAATTCTATATTCACATCTCTTTCTAATTTACCCAAATTTCTCACTCTATTACCAGTTGTCAATCTGGTGCTCTCAGCATGTCTCAGCTTTTGATCACTCCTTGATATCTGCTTTTTTTCTTTAAAAAATAAAATTTCATTATCTAGTTCTGTAAAGCATAGTGGTGCTAAGATTTCTCAGCAGAGGGCGCTAGAGGAACACTGCAAGAGAAGGGAGGCTCTTGCTCTGTCCAGTTGCTGCAGGGTAGGCCAGGAGCATGAGTATGTGACCAGCAGAAGGTGATTTATTCTGGCCATGGGTCTAGCGCGTGCTGTCCCTCTGGGACCCTGCAGCCCACAGCAGGGTCTGGTGGTCACCATTCTGTGACCCTTACCAAGTGGACAAACTGTGTAGGTCTCCTGCACACTGATTTTCCCTGCTTACTTCCCTCTTCCCAGAAGTTTGTCTCCTACAGTCCTTCTTAAACTATTTCTGATAGAACCTTTGCCACAAGTACCTCTCAAGTTCCAGGGCTTTCAGCCACACAAGCACTCTCACTTTGGTATAACTCCCCACCAACCACCAACTGAAGGTTTCCTGCCTTGTGGGGCCCCCAAGGGTTGCTTCCTGTTTGTACCAGGACTGTAGACAGCTCTGGCCTAGCAAATCTGTGAGGGGCAGGCCGTTCAGCTGAGTAACCTTTTATTTCCCTAGAACCTCAGCTTTGAAAAGGGAACAGATCCCTTGTGTGTATGTCCTTACTGGGATACGCCTTCTTTGATTGCATACTGAGTCTTCTTGTATCCTATAGCTATTCTTTTACCAGTCATTCACTTTATTAGATTAACCTTTACAACTGGACAGCTGAGAACAGTGTAACTGTCCTTGCTTCAGAATGCCGTATCTCTCCTCTCTATCCTTTTATTTGCAATACTAATCAAAATTATGTATTCACTTGTGGCTTTAATTTCTTACATTGGTTTCTGACATGGAACTAGAAGTCCAAATAGGGCAGGCGCCATGCTTGTTGGCTTTCTTCCTGGCACCTGCATCATGGGTGGCATGTAAGCAGTATCCAATGAATATGTGTTGCATGAATGGGTTTTGGATGGGTGAGTACACTTTCTGCTAATGAGTTTGGTTATGTCCTTTGTATGCCTCATTAGCTCTTCGAAAACATTACTATTTTACAGATCAGGTGTAACATGTTCTGGAATGGGTAACAGTATGAGGCACCTGATTTGGGCTCTTTAAAAATGAAGTAATTGCATTCTATTATAATCTCCTACAGTTGCTTTCAAAGCTGATGTAGCAATGACTGCCCCCATCAGCATTCCTCATAACAGCTGTTTCTTACCTCTGTGTTAATCACAGGACCCACATCCCAACTAACACTAAAAAGAGATAGGTTTAGTTAAATTCCGAATTTAACTAAAATTCCTACTATAGTTTAAAAATTTCACATACCTTCTACTCCAGGATTCATACTTTCAAATGTCAAATTTTGGTAGGTGATAAAAAATAAGTAGATGAGGCAAGTGAAGAAAAGTGGGGATTGTGGTAAACTGGGCCACACATTCTTCACCTGAATATATTTAACTTGAAGACTCACAAAAACACAATATGAGCTGAGCACAGCACCAGCCCCTGACTGCCACCTATCAATCAATCAACGCCACAGCACCAGCCCCCTACTGACTGCCACCTAGCAAGCCCAGCCAGAAAATACTGGGTCCCTTCTGAATCTCCACAATCAGAGATCTTAAAAGAGGTTTTCCACAAAGATGTTTCTTATATTATTTTGTTGTAGAGGAGCATTAAAAACTAACATCTACTATGATCCCTACTTTATAAGAGGAGACAGAAAATAATGGCCAATGAAGGACAAGGCAGACAGCTTCAGGATTATAGTCTCTGTAGGACAGGGTGCAAGGTCAATTATTATTATCATCATCACTATTATTATTGCTGATGTTTACTTTAAGTTGGAATACACTTGACTTCGATATTTACTCAATTTGCAAATTAGAATTATTTTAAAAGCTTAAAAAAAACGAAGATCATCGAATTTCCAGGGATACAGTCTTGCTTATTCAGGAGATCAGGAGAAGGAGACTGCAGGCATAGTTGGAGGAGTCCTCAGGTTTCTGAAACATGACTGTACGTGTTTCCACAGATTGGAAACTTGTGTCCAGGGTTTCCCCACATGTTTTCTAGATTAAAAACATCCTGTCTGTTCCACTTTAATACTCAAGAAAATAGAAACCAAGGACAGATAATAATTTCTCATCATGTTTAGAGAAAATCCTATTTTCCTGCACTGGAGGGAGACAAAGTTTCTCAAAGGAGCTGTCTGGTTGCCTTTCCTTTGAAAGGCAGAGCAGTTCACAAGTAAGTGGCTCATGCCACAGGAATGGAAAGCCCCTACGATAACTCAGGAGCAGATCATATTTCACTTTCACAATGCACTGATTTCTTTACGGGCTTCCTTCAAGAAGAAATTAACTTTGTTTATACATGTACTCAAGTGCATGTACACACACACACACACACACACACACACACACACACAGAGAGAGAGAGAGAGAGAGAGAGAGAGGTGTAAAATGAAAACAGAAGGAAAAATAAGATTCTGTCATGAATGAGATAAATAGCTAAATTTCTTGTTTGAACCCTGATTAGAGATGGGTCTTGCATGCCCCTGGAATGAAGCCAAAGGATCACAAGGCTGAGGGACACAGAGCGTCCTTTGAGTGGGAGAGTGCATGTGCTCTTCAGGACAGGGTGTCTATTTGACTACTGACAGCTGGTGAAAATATTCCAGGAGAAGTTGGGAAGTAGGAGTTCTGTATGAAATCTGGTGTTATATTTAAGCATGTTTCCACCCACTTAACCAAATTAGACACCGATTGCATCTGGCTGAGAATAAACACCTGATAACAAAATGAAAACCATAAAGAAAGTCGCTACTAGTGCATGGGCCCAGTGCAGATTCCCTCAGTCACAAACATCTAGGAGGAGGGCTGCTTTAGTGCACATTTGGGGACATTCCTTGGGTGATCCCAGCCTTTACCCAAATTTAGAAATTACTGTTCTTATGAAACCTGGACAATGAAATAGGTATTCCAGGTGACTTGCTCAGTTCTGCATGTCAGAAGCCTCAAGAACACTTGAGTTCTACCAACCATGCTACTCTGCCTACAGTGTGGCCTGAAGAGCTGTGCTTTTGCAGATCTGCTGTGATTTAATGGCACTAGAACCTTATCTTTGGTTCCGATTTTCTTTGCAGTGATCAGGAAGTCTTCACTGAGAATGGAAACAGGCATAAATGAGAAGAAACATATACCTTGATTTATGCAACAGAAGAGACCACACATTATAATTCTTTGACTTTTGAAGGAAGAACAATTCCTGGGTAGTCAGAGGGGACATGACTGTTTTCAGAGCCTTGCTATATAATTCCTTGAAGGACAACTCTTGGGCATGGAATAGTCCAAGGTGGTTTTACTTCCCAATGTTCTTTATTCTTACCCATGTCAGTCATTACCTTTCTGTGTTTGTAATAGAGGAGATAGCCGTCATGCTTCAACACAAACCACCTCTTCCTCCAGCCCTTCACAAAGCCTGAGTGGGTCCTCTTATGCAGGTAGCCACGGCAGGTGGGCCATGGCGTGTTGGGACAGCGGCTGATGTCGGATCCCACCACCAGAGTCAAGATGTCTGGACCTATAGACACGGATTTAGGATAGTTAAGTGGCCTAACATTTTATAATCTTCTGGAGGTACAGTGACTAAGCAGAAGTAATGGATAGATAAACACTCATAGTTTTTACAACACTGAAACTTCTCTTAGAAATTCAAACCTATGTGTTTATGAAGAACATAAAAAATGGACAGTTATCTCTCTATTGATTCACAAATAAGTAGTTGAACCGATATGGGATCCAGGTTCCCTGAACTGTGTAATACCCCTTCATAGCCACAATGGTTCTGATGACAGAGTCAAGTCTGTGCAATGTCGTTGGCTGTAATATCAGCCTAATTCCTTAAACATCTTGATTTACTTCCTAAGAAGGGGGATTTTGCCTCACTTTTATTAACCTTCCTCTCTTATAGCCTCCTTGGTCTGGTTTAGCCAGACTGAGAGTCTACTGTCTACATCACTACTTACCTCTCTTGCTGAAACTGCCACTTATCAAAACCCTGGAGTTTGGAAATAGTAGTTCTGGGCAGTCTTAGATACTGACCTTTTTCTGTTTCCAGGTTAAGTGTGACTTTACCCTGAGCTTCCAGTTCCTGTCTCTCTTGGAACATCTTCCTTCCAGTACTGATATACAGTAGAGCTTGTGGAAATAGTGTCGTCCCTGTTAACATGAGGTCACTGCCTACCTACTGTGCTTTGTTGCTGCCAGCATGGACACCACACACCTACCTTTTGATGCTTTAAGACAGCTCTTTGAATGCCATGCAGACAGACACCAACCCTGACACACTTTGAAGACTGCAAATGGGCTATGACTTCATTTACAATTCCTCTGAGAGGGAGGCCACATCCCCGAAGGAGGACATTTGGCCTTGGCAGCGCTGACTTCATCATGATGGCTGACATTGAGATTACCGATCTGTTTAGAGCTGTCTATGGAAATGGGGGTCAGCAAGGAGACTCATCTTCCATAACTGACAAGCTCCAACCCAGGGGATCATTCCTAGCTGAGCCACATGGCCCTGAAAATAAAGATTTGTCCCAGAAAGGCTGACACAGTCTTAACTTTAGCAGTGTGCGAAGCACCTTGGTAATTAAATAACTCTCAGTATGTCAAGATAATTCTTCATTGCCATGTAAATACATTTTAATTTATTGAACTGCCCTTAAGCTCCTGTCAAAAACACATCCAGAAAAATTAAAAGAAGTGCTCCAGATTGACCGGCAACCCACAAATGCCTTTGTCTTTGGACTGTAGTCCCCAAAGAACTGCACTCCTGGACTAATGTGCACAGTTGACACATCTGCCAATTTATTTATGGACTGCTGCAGTGGGCTGCCCCTGAGGTCATTTTCCTCTTGCTTACACAGACTGCATGTGAGTTTCTCTGATACTGATCAGACTAAGCTTGTGCTTCAGCCTGGTCATAAACATAACGTGGTACACCATGAAAAATTCTCTCTGGGGCAAGGATGCAGCTGGTCCTGATGCAGCATGGTTTCATCATGTTGGAAGAAAGTTTCTCATAGCCAGAGTGAGGACTTGAGCCTGATGCATGGGGAGTTGTTGAGCTCTAAACAGCTGTCGGGAGATGGTAGTTTTATCCTCTTTACCACATGCTACTCGGAGCCCAGAGGACTTAGGCTTGACATTCACAGTAGAGCTAGAGTGAGAGTTTAGACTTCGATATTAGGTTTTGTAAAAAAAAAAAAAAAAAAAAAAATCTATTTCTCTAGCCACTGTAGTTTGTGCATGAAAAGAACTAAAATTTTGAATGTCAACATTTAAAACCTCCTGTATTTATTAACTTACTAAGCCTAAAATTAGAAAATGTTTTCATTTGGCTCTTAACAAAGTAACACACATCAGCCACTGGTTCATTAAACAGCATGCCTTCTTCATTCAGTAGGTTCAGCATGAGCTTTGACACTCTGTGTTGGTAGCAAGCTCTCATTTGATGTCCAAATACAATTTCAGTTTCAAGTCCATGAGGTCCCACTGCTTGGTATTTGCCACCAACTACAGCATTTCTTCAACTATGATTTAGTTTCCTTTGACCAAATTTATTTTTAATCCCAACATATCTCAGTTAAGAAAAAAAACAACTCTTAGGTCCCTCGTGCCCTTATTACTCTGCTAATGAATTTCATGTGCCTGGGAATGGAAGTAGACAACCATGGCCTTTATCTACTGGGCATCTTGCTTGCTTTGGGTTGTGGGTGGGATGAAGAATGCAGATAGGTAGCCGTCTGCAGCCTGAGATGAAAGAGTCAAGAAAATTACCAGATTCATGAAATGAGGAAGTTTTCAAACAACATCTACCCCCCACCCCAGTTATTCAGGGACAAAGTCCTTCAAAACAAAAGCTCCCCAGAAAAAAAGTCTTCCCTCGCATGTTGGCCCATGTTTGGAAGTGCAGAATTTGGTGAGGTTATTTACAGCTGCAGGAAACAGAAAAATAATTTCTTTTTCTAATTCACACTTTCTCCTTGGCTCACTGTCTTATTATGCCACCAATCTTAAAGTGTGTCAGAGTCTCACCTCTGCTGTCAGACAAGCTCTACCACCCTCACAAGTGCAGGAGAGAAATGTGCAAGATGTGTTCTGTCCCTGAGGGCATACACTGTGTTCAGCAGCTGAGAACCTGGCCTCCAGAGGTATCATTGTGTTTGATTTTACTAAAGTCTGCACTTAGTGAAGCAAAGTCCTGATGGAGCAGACTTGCAGGCTCGCTGAGCTTCAGTGTGTCCCTTTACATTGGTGATTAAATCTTCTCTTTGAGTCACCAGCCCTATAAAAAGCCTTAACCACTGTATAGGGGCAACCTAATTAAATAAAGACTCAGCCCAGTGTGGTGCTGTATACCTGTAATCCTAGCACAGGTGGTTGAGGGTAAAACAAGAGGTCCTAAGTTGAAGGTTGACCTGGGCCAAAGAATGAGAACGTGTCTGAAAAGGCAAGGGAGCATAAGGAGTCCCAAAGATTTGCGTACAGATGTTGCAATTTGCAGTATGACATCAGTTTTGGTTTTCTCATCATCAGAATGAAGTTCATTTGTACAGGGGTGTGTGTAGTACTATGACTAATGATGGCAATTGCAATTCGGAGTGGTGTCTCCCTTTCTCATGCTGCTCCGTTGAGATAAAATAACAAATTCAGACGGTCAGTTGTAGGGCTGCAACTGTTTGGCCAAGTCTTTAAGATTCTGGGCTGAAGAAGAGGGTTCAGTGGGAGAAAGGGCTTGAAAACAACAAGAGTAGTTTTATATACATGTGTGGGACTGTCAAGAAACAAGAACAAGAACAGAAAAGATACTGGCTGTGTCTTGATGCCAGGCTGATTGTGAAAGATTCAACCCAGAGGGTTCACCAAAACTCCAAATATGGAGACATCATGAGGCATCCCACATTTAAGAGTTGCCCACCGAATCTGGCACACAGCTAGATCTCAGACTCAGTATTCTCTGAAAAGTAATTTGATGTCTGTAAATCTGAATCAGTGTCATGGCCAGGTATGCTCTTACAGAACCACTGTTTCTTGGTGACTCCGTTTACTTCACCCAACTTTCTATCACCATTATTGCCTACACATTTCAGAATGAGGTTCTAGCTGCAGCTGTATATGGTAGGATCCATTCAAGGGGCATCTTTTGTTGCTGTTAAATCAAGACAGAGTGCCCAGCATAACACTCAGATCATGCCACAGGACTTGTCATGTCCTTGCTTTGTTTTTTTTTTTATTTCTTGAAGTACAACAATTCATTTTCTCTTTCACAGCAGGGGCTCACAGAATAGGCTTGATATAGGAATATGAACACACTATCTTGTGTATGTCTGTCTTCTTATGTTACATAAACGATGTCATGCTGATTTTCAGTATGCCTGCCTGCTTCTCTCCCTATCTCACCCTTCTGTTTATACTTGTCTTTTCTTTTGTTTTCAACTTGAAATTGACTTTAAAAACAAAATCTATCCCTGATGCTTCAGAGTGAACAGAAATGCAGTGTCTGTGTGCATTACAGCGTAGGTTTACATATTCCCCTAGTGATGGTCACCCAGACTGATTCTAATTCCTCTCTACCCCATCAAATACTGCACAAATGCCCTTGTATTTGTCCCTTAAGTAGGTTTTGGGCTTTATCTGTCCAGAAGCACAACTACTGGGACTTAAGATTTATAGGTACTTCACTAGGAAGTGCAGATTGCTCGCTGAGCATCCTATATCCCACTACGAGTGTATGAAGAGTCGAATTTTCTTACCACTACACCCCGTCAAAGATGGCTATTATATGATACTTTAAAAAATGTTATTGAATCTAAAACATTATCTTGTTGACAATTTATATTTTTTTGATTAGTGGCAAAACTGGCCCATAGTTGATTTTACTGACAATACTTTTAACGTTAAAATTGAGATCTTATACAATTAAAGTCCACCTCTGCATATAGAATAATATGTAACGCACTGTGTATGGCACCTTTGTTAACGTTTTGATGACTATTTGGGTAATTTTTGAGCATTTTGTAGATCACTAATCTATTCTATGTTCCTAGAAAAGAATTCTTTTCTTATGTGTTTAGAATGTATTGTCATATCTGGTATAAAATGTTATTTTGTCATCTGGCCGTATTTATGAATATTATAGCCACTTAAAGACATTTACTCTGTTGCATGTTTATAGGAAAGATCTCCAAACTAACCATACATTTAATTAAATTTTATTGTGGTATCACTGAATTTTTAGAGTGATTTTGGGAGAATTTAGATCTTTATGTATTTTTATTCATAAATGTACAAGAATAGTATTTATTTGCAGACCTTTAGTCCTCCTCCATCATACCAGATGGAAACTAAGGCTGTGGACACAGCACTGAGCTGAGTATCTATCCAAGTTCTTCTTTTATAGACCTTGAGAGACTCATGATTTTCTGCAAGTTCTTTATTCTTTGATAGACCAACTCTAAACACTTAGAATTTTTGTTGCTACTGTTAATCACGTGTAATTTTTCCCCTTCTTTTTTC